TTGTGATATATTCTTGTCAGAGTGGTACCAGGTAACCAAAACAGATCCCATTCAGGCTTTTCTGGAAAGTTGATATGGTTGCAATGAAAAGGACCCATTTGTGATAATGCTTTTAAGCAACTTCTGAATAATATAAGTATTACTTATTATGTACATTATCTCATGACATCCTTACAACAGCCCTGCCAGGTGGGCAGATTTTGGGGGGCCCAAGTGCAGTATGGGCCATTTACCCCTTGGTTCCCTGAGGGGGTGCTAGAGTGAGACTCCCCAGTATTGCTGCCAAAGGGATCTAGGCCAGCCCCACTTACCAGTTTGTGCAATGAGGGCCACCTTCTTCAGGGTAGGCAGAAATGCATGGACTGGAGCATGGAAATGCAGGATGATGATGAAGGGCTGCCCCCTCCTTACAATTAGGCGACGGGAGCTAATGGCCTTGGTGTGGTGCTCTTCATTGTTTCTTGCTGCCTGGAAGTCACACCTTTTGATACTCAGGGCTGTTAGGGAGAAGACAGAAATCGTGGAGACTAGGTAAGAGTGACGACACAAGTAAAAGCAGAGAGTTTGGAGTCAGATACCAGGGTTCAAATCCTTGGCTCAACTACTTACCAGCTACGCAACTTCAGTCAAATAATTTAACCATTTTGAGCTTCAGTTTTCTCTCCTTAAAATTATTCTCTTTTCTTACAGTGTTGTTATATGGACTAAATAAGGTAAGGTATACGTAGTGAAGTCAATTACTTAACAAGGCCCTTCTAGCCATAGTCCTCCATTTTGTGAGGTATTGTAAATCCTAGCCTCTATGTCTATGGTTATGGTCTCATTTTGGAGTGAGTTGTCCATTATTTTACTGATGCAGGATTAGGGTGAGACGTATCTGTAGTGAGTCCTGCCTTACTAGACGTGTGACTCAAGTCACCACCATTAGTTTTCTTAATGGCATATGTATGAATGCTCTGGCAAGGTTCATGGTCTTGCTCCAGATCCTGCATCTGATTCATTATCATTTCACCCCTGGTTCTTGGGACTTGAGACAGCTGACAGTCATCTGACCTGCTGATTGGGTTCATCAGCCCCTGCAAGCACATGAGTGAGGGGAATCCTCCAGACTGACACCTGATCCATGGATTTGCAACTTGTCAGGCTCCATGGCCACATGAGCCATTTTGTTGGCAGTTTGTGAGTTCTGTGACATGTTACAGGTAAATACAGAACTCTAAGACAGGAGGGAGAGTAATGAGGGGAGGAGATGGAGGTGATATTAGAGATGATGGAGTGGTACAGCAGTTTGGAAAAGCTGGGCATTTGGGACATCTTTAACCTCCACCTCATAGGGACCAGCCTTGTGCTGATCCTTCTAAAAGGAATTATTTGAGAAATATATAATATGCTTAGCACAGTGCCAGATATAATTGTTGCTGTTAGTTGATGGTGAGTTGGTTCTGATCCACGGAGACCTTATGTACAACTGAACGAAATGTTGCCCAGACACATTACCTAATGCCGCTCTGACAAGAAATATACCACAAATGGAATGGCCTTAACAAACAGGAGTTTATTCTTTTATTTATTTATTTTTATTGTGATTTGGGTGAAAGTTGACAGAGAAAATTCACTTTCCATACAGCACTTCCCATACACTTTGTCTCATGACATTGACCACAATTTACCACAATACAACAGCTTCCCTCCTACTTCTTCCCGATAATTACCTCTTCC